TTGCCATGTGGAAGTGAACAATATTCTATAATCACTGGAATGAACTTATTTACTCCTCCAGAAAACTGAGTCAGTGTGATATAATGGCAAGCATACTATTGGAAGACTTGGGGCGGAGTCCAGGCATCCTATTTACTTGCTTTTTTGATCCTATGTAAAATAATTTCTCTGGGTCTCATCTTAAGATGAGAAATCAGAAAACATCACTGATTCTACACAAAGAACTGGAAGATATGAAAATGATAAAGACAACCAAAGAGAATACATTGGGGAAATTTGCCAGGTAGAGACATGAATGGTATGTATTTGATATTACTGAGTGAAATTAAAAAACACCCCCCAACAAACCCTTATTTTAGCAGGGACTTCAGAAATAAAGAAAAAGTCACTGTGACTTTTATAAAATGAATGAAACTGGGAAATGAAAAGGAAATCTGTGCTGGGGAAATAATTTGTTACATAGTTGCCTATAACATACAAAGTGACAAAGAACAGGAATCAGTTACATAGAGTCAAGAGAATAAAAATCTCTTTTACATACTCCAGAAACTAAATCACAACAAAACCCAAAACAACCATGAGAAATTCCAGCAATGAAAGTTGAAAGCATGGGATTATTTTGGAAGGCAAAAAGTAAAATAAAAAATAGTCTTGTCACATATATATTTTTTAAGATTTTATTTATTTATTTGAGAGAGAGAGAGAGAGAGAGAGAGAGCGAGAGCACAAGCAGGTGGCGTGGCAGAGGGTAAAGGAGACTTAGCCCCAGGACTCCAGGATCATGACCTGCCTGAGCTGAAGGCAGATGCTTAACCAACTGAGCCAACCAGGTGCCCTGAGTCTATTTTTAAGAAGTTTATATAAGCCAATTCATAGAAGATAATTAAGTAAGCTATATTTTGGAAAGCACTTGTCCCAAATATGACTCATTTGGTAGCATTACCTTACCCGAAATAAATTGTTCAAGTGTGGACTATAAAAGGATCTTGGGAAATCTGGCATCTCAGATACTGGGCATGAAAAAGGTAGTAACCACTTCACAAGAGGGAATCCGAATGGCTAGTTGGTATGTGGAAAGGACTCAATAACATCAGCAATCAGAGATAACAAGTTAAAACCATAATGACATACAACTAACTATACATCCACCAGACTGGCAAAAGGATTGACAATACTGAGTGGGATTGAGGGTGGGGGGTAATGGACTCACATACATGGCTGGCATGAGTATAACACTCTAGAAAAAGCTCCCAGGTATATACCATACAGAAACTGATATAAATGTGATGGAATACACACAGACGAAGAATATTCACAGCAGCACTTTTAACAGTCCCAAACTGGAAGCAATCCAGATGTCCATCAACAATAAAATGGCTAAATAAATTATAGCATACTGCTACAATGGAACACTGCAATTAAAAATGAACAGATTACGACTATATGAATGACCTGAACAAAATATGGATTTTGACATTGTGCAAAAGCAGCAAGCAAAGAGATTACACATTATGTTGTTCCATTTAATAAAGTTCAACAGAAAGGGCAAAACGAAACAACATATTGTTTAGGGGTGCATGCTTATGAAAAAATAGAGAAAAGCGAGGAAATGATTATCACAAAAGTTAGAACAATGGCTACCTCTAAAAGAGAGGGAAAGAGTTGTGGTCAGGAAGGTCACTAGGGGGGCTTCTAGAATGCTGGCAATGTTCCATTTGCTGATGTAGTTGGTCACAAGCAGGTTTCTTTTATAACAAATAACTGCTGTATGCATTTAATGTGTATCTCACAATAAAAATGCAAAAGTAATTGAAGACTTTTTAGATGGCATTTCTAGAAATTTTACCAGATAATTTAGCTTATGAAATCCCTGACAGTAAAAACCACTGATGTGGGATGATAATACACTGATAAAATAGCTTCTCATAAGAGCATGCTTTCAAGTGCAGGAGAAAAGAACCCTCCACAAATATCCCTTTGTTATATTTTAACAGTATGCAGATCTTTATCACAAACAAACTGATAAAGCAGGGAAAGAACTGTTACCTGAAATTTCAGATTTTTTGGAATTTTGTACAATCTAGCTGTTTTTTTCCTCTGGATTGATAAGTAAAAGAACTAAGGAGACGCAGACCAAGTTGGAAATGTATGAACTTCCTCCTCTCTAGATGCCAATTCCAGCTGTTTCCTCCAGTTTCTTCCAGTACTGGGTGGTGAGGTGGGTGGATTTTGCCCAGTAAGTTTAGTGCTTCTATTACTTCATAAGTAGGTGCATGAGGGATCTCTTGAGTGATTTTCTGTCTCTCAGTACTAAGGTTCTAAGGTGGAGCCACTGACAAAACAGATCAGGCTGCTGAAAAACCCCATGTGGTACAGTACACACTTTTCTGGACGTGTGCTCTGCTGGGCTGCAGAAGTTTATTCATTCATTAAACATTTGCTCAGCCCGACCACAATTGTGTGCTAAATCTTACCCCACACCATAGGATTTTTGCATTCTTTTTATCCAAACCCCACAGGACTTAAAACCTGAGGTGCTCAGCTTCACAAAATCTCCTAAATCTGGGCATTTTACTCATTCAATTTCTACTAGGATTAGGGAGGGGGCAAAATCAGGTAGAGATTTATTTTGTAGCCAAGTGGGGCTACCACTTGGAGGGCAGATTCCCTGTGAGTCTTTTTTGGAAGGACATGGTACGGCATCGATCATGCCAAGGCAGTCAAACCCACAGTAGCTTAAGCAGTATAGTTAACCTGGCTCTTGGAACTTCTCATCAAGGACACTTGGGAAAGTGCTGCTCTTTGTGAGTCTCTTCTTGCTTCTGCAACATCCACTTCCCACTCCCATCAATTTTTCTGCAGCATTTTAATAAAAATGAAGTTTCCTTGGTCTACTGTTTGCATATGGTGGTGGCAGAAGTTTCCTTGGTCTACTGTTTGCATATGGTGCTGGTAGAAACCCTGAGCTTCGAAAGTCTGCCTATAAAAGCTTGCTCCTTATTCTCTGAAGTCGAAAGACTTGTAATATCCATTAATGCTGCTTCCAGAGCAGGTAGGGTGTGCCAGGGTCCAGCAAAAGAACTCTGGAATCTGCTTGCTTTCATCATTGCTGCTTTCATCTCAGTCTCACTGTATTCACCCGGACAGGTTCAAGACAGATTCTGAGACTTTCATCTCAAAATTTCTTTTCCTAGAGAACTACACTTTCAACTTCATGAGTTTTAATTTGAATTTACTTTCCAGGATAAATCTGTAGGAAAAGCTGCATAATAGTAATATTTATTTTAGAAAGGAAAGAGCCTTTGAGTCAGACCTGCAGCACAGGCCAACATTTCCTGGTGATGGTTATGGATACTTACTATCAACCAAGATCAGCTCTCCAAAGCTTCATACAAGCAAGAATGGTTCCTAAAATTGAGACACCACTAACATCTCCTCCTGAAAAAGTAAAAATTCTTCCTACAGTCTCCGGGAGGATGGCTCCCTTCCTTCGTCTCGGCAATTCGCCCCCACTTTACACACTTAGGTTGTGCCTCCGTACGCAAACTGCATCCCTATTTCCTATCGTAGAGGTGGGAGCGGGAAGAAGGGATGTATTACTACTCTCATCTTTACAATACCACGTAGCTTACAAAACGCTTGCACTTTCGTCAACTCCTCCGAACTCCGCGAGTGCCTCGGAGGGAGGCATTCATTCATTCATCAAACATTTGCTCGGCCCGACCACACGTTATCGGGTGCTAGGTCTCGCCCCACACCACGGGAAGGGTGGGGCGCTCGCTCCCTGGAGCAGGTGCAGCGGATCAGGCTGTAGGGCAAGTTCTCACTCAGCCTGGGTTTTCGAAGGCCCATTTGGGGCTAAATGCCTCACCTTTGGGTGGTGCGCGCCCGAGGACGGCCGCGCGGCCTGGGCCTTTCTCCTTGCTCCCAAAGGAGCAGCCACCATCTGCCCTGAAGGAAACCGCTACAGAGTAAGCTCTGCCCGCCGCCGTGGGGTCAGGGCTAAGATCAGGCGGCAGCTTAGGCTCCACTCGGCTCCTCCCCTTCCTCTCTTCAATTCTGACGCGGCCGTAGAGGCGGCGGCAGCGGCGGCTAGTCCCGCGGCCCGAGACGCACCCACCCGCTCGCGGGGCCCCGACTTCCTCTTCCCTTTGATCGTCATCAGAGCGCGCCAGAGTCACCCTGGGCGGGGTGGTTAGAAAGGGGAAAAAAAAAAGGCCAGCGGAGGAAACGTCCTGGCGGACAGAAAAGGGAGGGGGTGAGGGGAGCGGTTGCTAGGTGACTTGCGTCATCCGCCTGCGCCGCTTTCCTCCCGCCCCTCTCTGGAGTGAGGCGAGAGCCCCGCACAGAGCGAGCGAGACAGCGAGCTGAGCTCCGGGCGCTACCGCCACCGCAGCGGAGAGCGTGAGAGCGAGGGAGCATCCGAGAGACCCGGCCCCCGTGCACTGGCCACCGCCGAGACCTTCGTTCTGACCTGGACCAGCGGGAGCCGCGGCCACCCCTTTTCTCCCCCCCTCACCTTCCCGGCCGGCAGCGGCGGCTGTACACGCCGGAGCCGGAGCCGGAGCCGGAGCCGGAGCCGGCGGCTGGGGGGCAGGGAGGCGGCTACCTCGGGCCGGGACTAGTCAGCTGCTCTGCGGTGAGAAGACGCTGAGGAAGGGCCGGAGCTTCTGTCTCGTCCCGGGGCGCGGGGCGAGGGACCCCCAACGTGTAGGGAGGGGGTCCCAGCCGCAGCGACACATGCGGGAGCCGGGAGCGGGGGCGGCGCCGAGCGGAGCCGGCCGGGTCCCCCACCACGCCGCTGCCTCTTCCACCCGCCCGGGGCCGTAGCATCTTGCCCCAGAGTGTATGAGCGGGGGACCCAAGCTCAGCAACCACCCCCCGGCCGGGGGGGCGGGGACCCCGATGTGAAGCGGAGGCCCGGGCGGCGGGGAGAGCAGGACAGGCGCCGCCGTCCTTTCCTTACCTTCCTCCTCTCCTGAGCCCCCTCGCGGGGGGGGGGGGGGCTTCTCCTCTTGGCCAGCCGCCGGCCCCCCGGCCCCTCGGCAGGACTCCGGGAGGAGTTCTTAGAGCCCCCTCCCCCGCCCCAGCCCCGAGGGCGGCGGGGCCGGGGGGGACCCGGGGGGCCGGCTGCAGCCTCAGCCCAGAGGAAAACTTTGTAAGAGCAAAATCTGGAGCCTCCCAGACGTGACTGTCCCGGGAGAAGTGGCTCAGGGCGGGCAGAAGACAGCCTGAAGAGATCCAGGAAGAGGAAAAGAAGAGGTAAGCGGGGCCGCTGCCGCCTCCTTTGCTCCGGCGGCGCGGAAGAGACCCGGGGTGACCGCCTGGCTTAGAGACACAAGCACCGCTTCTTCCTCAGTAACGCGCCGGAGCCTTCCGCAGCTGCTGCCTCAGAGCGAAGGAGGAAGGGAACCAGCCCACTTTCTCAGCGCCACGGCTCTTCCCTAAAGTGTGAGTGGCCGGGGAAAGGGAATCGAGGGGGTAGAAAGTGGGAGGATACCGTCCGGTTCGTCCCCTCGGAGTTTTGCTGATGTTTTGCAGGAGTGTTGGGAGTGTATGGACCAGAGGGTGCATCTTTATTTTTACAGCGAGGAAGAGGTATCGGGTAGTCTTGTGTTTTATGATATTTTAGCTCCTTGTACGGGTAATATGAAAGCTTACAGGTTTCTCTTAGAGGAGCTCTATCTTTATCCAGAGTGGACACTTGCACCTTTCTGGCCGGTAACTGGCAAAGGAAATTGAGGAAGCCAAATCATATGTGCACACAAAGGACATCTCTGTAATACACCTTTTCCTGGTACACCGGGTGTGAAACAGTGCTGTGGTTTTTGTTTCGGGGCAGCTCTTATTAGGGTTCTCAAGAGGGAACCTTTTACCCTGTGAACCCCTGAAACTGAAATTCCTGTCTTATTTGCAGTTCTTCCTTGAGAGATGGTACAGGAGTTTTTTACCTTCTCATTTCCTGGGTCCAATTTCTAGGTGTCAGGAAGCTATAACAGATTTCAATTACTCAGAAGATTCTGAGTTCTTATGAATCATGACTTACTTGGGGAAGAGCATCTAGTACCTTAAACAGTTTATAAAAGTTTTTGCATTTTTTTCCCTATCCAAATGCTTTAAAAAAAATTTTTTTTTTTTAAGTAGCGTATGTCCTAATTGCTAGCACTTTTTTATTTGGCAGAATGACTTGACACTTTGCTTGGTTGAGTTATCTTTACTTCACTGTCAAACGAGGAGAAACTTTTTGATATTTAATTCTTTGAAAGATGAAAGTTTCCTTTCCCTTCCATTATTTTAAGGTGAAGTTTATAAAATCTTTGGTATGCATTTTAGGTATCCTCTCATCAGTGCCAAATTGAGGTGCAAGAAAGTAATTACCATTTCATATATTTATACAGACCTTAAGGGTTAAGCATAAGGTGGAATTTTATTTAACAGAACATAGGCAGTACTACAGTACTGAGAATTGTGGCTCCTCCAGGCAACAGTGTGGGCTCACTCCCTCTGAAGCCACTGCTTTGTGGTAATGAGTGTAAGCCTGGGGTTGTCCGTGCTAACTTCTCCATTCAGGATCTCAATTAAATTTATTTAAAACTTTCTCCAATAGTGTTTTCATATATACTTTTTCTCTTTTGAGATAGTGAGTTCTACAAGTTTGTTAGCCCCTGAATTATTTAACATTTCATTTATTTGTCCCAAATCTGTCTCTGTAAAGATCCAAAACACATCCAGAGGTTTTGTTTTGAGAAATGCTATGACAAGCTGGAGTTCATCTTTCCTTGGTTTTATGTATTTTGATTATTCTTTTTTACCATTGTCTTCCCTGACTCTTTCTGTCAGTCTTAGAATGATTACTTTGATCCCTTGATCATTTTGCCCCTTCTGGAACTTCTCCAGCTGTTTTGTTTCTCTTTATATATTTGTGCTTGTTACACTTTTGTAAGGAGCCTTAAGTTCTATTTTAAATGGGTAATGACATGGAAATACTGATTAGTAGGTGTAATGTTAGATGTCAAATCAAAAGCAAATGTCTCTGGATCTGTTACCTTCTTTTGAGAACTTGAGGAAGTTATGTATCCCATATTTTACAAAGATGAGAGAAAGAGAAATTACTCTGGCATAGGCTATTTTTCAGGGAGAAAAGGGAGACAAACCAGCAAACTATAATTTGAGGGTAGATTTGTACTCTTATCAAAGTTGCTTACTAACTTTAAGACTTATTTTTATTACTTTGACTATAGGTTGGTTAAAAAGCATGGTAATGTTTGATTGCATTTTGGGTAGCAAAGAAACAGCAAAAGTATTTGAGAGGCCTTTGAGATGCTTTTACTTATGGCATAGGCAACGAAACATAAATTGCACAAAATTGTAGGAAAGAGGTGTATATGAAACTATATGTCATACTACTGTAAGTATGACACTATAAGTCATCCTACTGTATGTATGACACTGTCTCTCACACTACTGTGTTTGGTGGCTTATAGATATAAGTGTATATGTATCTATAGAAGTCTTGGTGTTGGACTATACAAAACTAATTGGAGTGTCTGAACCAAATCTGGGAAATAAGATTTCTTTTGGGAAGAAAGGTGCTGGTGGAGATAAAGTGTTTAAGACTTTTGGAATTGGTGGGTGTGAGGGACAAATGTAATTGGGAAGTTAGCTTGTTGGGAATATGGATGAAAGTTGTTGAGGAGGCTTGAAGTTAGTGTTTGTGTTTGTGCAGTTACATGTGTACAGCCCAGAGAATCAACTGAGAACAATGTTGCTGAGAAGGTACTTTTAGATGATTAAGGAGAAATTGTATTCTAGATTGGGAAGCATTTTACCTGAAGAAGGATTTTCTTTTTTTAGGGAACCAACATTTTTATACCATGGTCTTCGAAGAGCTGTACAAAGGGAGGGGTGAGAAAGATGCTTCCAGTAGTTTAGATTGGTACTAGTGGTTTCTTACAGAAAATAATTCAGAAACGGGGCAGTGGACTTTGTTTTTGACATTAAATTTTAGGGTAAAAAGTTGGTGCTGATGCAATCTGAAGACAGAAAAATAGTTAAGCTAATGAGTGATATGCTGAAAATGTAGAGTTAGGAGTCAGTTTCACAGTGTTAAGGTTTCTTGCAGAGTAAAGGAGCTGAAAAATGTGTCTTTTTACTTTGGGGGAAGGGAATCTGTTAAAGTTAGCAACGATATGATAAGAACAGAAAATGAATGAGACTCTCCCTAAAAAATGTTTTAAAAGTGGATAAGATTTAAAGTTCAAAGGGAGGAACAGTCTTTAACATGGCTACCAATTCTTAGGACATGTGCATCTATATTTTTGAAGGAGCTAACAAGCTTTTTGTAGAGTATATAGGTCCCTTGATTTAAAGTCAGAAGGATATATAGGATTTCACTGTTAAGGAACTTATACATAAAAGGACAGATTTGTTTTCATAAAAATTCATGTTTTTAAAGTTTGCCCAGGATTATTATCCTAAATTTGGTCTTTAATCTGATGAAGTAGGGCTAAAAATAGCTGGCAGAGAAGGCTGCTTCCCCTGCTTGCAGTTGATGTGTGTCTTTGTGTCCCATACAATGGAGGGGATATCCCTGTGTTGGCACAGCAGTGCTGAAAATGCTTTTTTTTTTTTAACCTTTTTATTAAAAAACAAATAAACAAAAAACAACTTGGCATTTAAAAAGAATCAGCTGTCTTTGAAGCATGAGACATGGAAGACTTTTTTTGTGGTGAAATCTGCAGCTAGTGGGGCTTGCTTTTAGTGTTGACTCTAACAAAATTAAGGATTGTAAGATAGGGAATATCCATACATATCCATACTTTTTATGTTCATTAGTTCATTCAGTTCACCGCCTTCCTAGTAGCTTCTTTGGTCCCTTCTTAAGAATTTAATTCAAATGGCAGAACTCTCTGGGGAAGGGATGTTTAGATAGGGAGCTGGATCTCAGGTGATTCTAGGATAAGGGTATGGGACTGGAATATATGCCATATGGGTGCCTTCTCCATCCTCTACTTTCCACAATATATTTTATGCGGGTGAAACATGTTTAGATGGACTTAAAGGACAGTCTTTTTGGGTTGACATGATTTACTAGTGAAGGTAGTGGGAAGGGTATGACTCTGGTAGGAGGGAGTGATAACCTTTTGTGCTTTGCCTTGGCAACTTTGGGATTGATACAGGATGATTGAAGGGCCTTGGGAGTGCATTTGTGTTTTAGCATCAGAAGACCCAAAAGCCTACACTTAGGCTGACAGATGCTCAATTCATGTATTTTAGAGAGGGTTCTTGGAGATGTCATGTGTTGCCTCTGATATCTCATTGTGTGGAGGAGTAAAAAAGTGGTGAATTTTTTTTTTTTTTTTTTGTAGAGGGCCAGTCAGTAAATATTTTAGATTTTGTGGACTATGTCTGGAGCAACAATTAAGTTCTGTTCTTGTGGTGTGAAAGTAGCCATAGACAGTATGTAAGCAAATGAGTGTGACTATGTTCCAATAGAACCTTATACAGCTGACCCTCAAACAATGGAGAGGTTGGGGCTACCAACCCCCTGTACAGTTGAAAATCTATATGATTTTTAACTCATCCAAAACTGAACTATTGATAGCCTACTTTGACTGGGAGCTTTACTGATAACATAGTCTAATATATATTTTATAGGTTATTTATATTAAATACCACATTCTTACAGTAAAGTAAGCTAGAGAAAAGATCTTATTAAGAAAATTGTAAGGAAAAGAAAATACATTGACAATACTGTATTGTATTTATTGAAAAAAACTCATGTGTAAGTGCAGTTCAAACCCTTGTTATTCAAGGGTCGACTATGTATAAACTACGTAGTTTATGGAACGCTAGTGTAGAAAACAGCCAAGTAGACTAACATTCAGTATGAGTGTGAGCTTCATTCCATTACAAAACTTGGACTGGCTATTTTAGGTGTTCTCCGTTTTCTGAGATACGGTCTTTGGGTACTGTCTTAAAGTGATTCTGTGTAAAGTCTGTAGTTCCAAATACGTTTGCCTGCAGAGTAATGAATACTATGGGAACTTGAGGAACAAGGCGCAGTGCTGTCTATAGCAGCTAAAAGTAGGAACTATTTGCATTTTTTATTAAAAGATAAATAATTTGCATAAAGTGATGTCCTGGCTACGTATCATAGCTGGAAAGTATCTTTGAAGAAACTTAAGGGTGTAATTTTGAATGGTTCTGCAAACAAATTGTAAATAATTGTAAAGCATTTACTTTAGATGTAAAATTAAAAGTGTTTATGGTTGGTTTGAATCAGATGAAAATAGTAGCCAAATTATAAGAACATTAAGATTTGTTACTTCTGGGGCGCCTGGGTGGCTCAGTGGGTTAAAGCCTCTGCCTTCAGCTCAGGTCATGATCTCGGGGTCCTGGGATCGAGCCCCACATCGGGCTCTCTGCTCAGCCGGGAGCCTGCTTCCCTC